CCCCCCCCCCCGTCTTTCTAACGCCTATTTTTTATGCTTTGTTTTTTCTAGAAAGATTTGTCCTACCTTCAGCAGTGGTTAGAAGCCTTTGTCGCCAATTTTGAGAAGATCATCGCTGTCCATTCTCTGGAACCGAGAAGGTAATTCTTGTCCAGTCCGATTGATCTTCACTAAAATACAGCTAAAAACATAGTTAAAAGTTTCCAGGTAGTCCTTGACTTATGTCCACCAATGGAACCGGAATGTCTGTTGCCAAGCCAGTAGGTTGTAAAGTGAATCGCCCCCAACCTTACAGGTCCTTACGACCAGAATGGAGCCTCAACGTTCCACTACTGAGACAATTGTGGTTTTGCCCCGTTTGACGACCTATTTTGCACCCGTTGTTAAGTGAATCACTGCAGTTGTGAAGTTAGTAACACAGCTGTTAAGGGGAATTTTGCTTCCCCGTTGATTTTGCTGGTCAGAAGGTGGCAAAAGGGTGACCCCGGGATGCTGCGACCGTCATAAATACGAGTCAGTTGCCAAGTGTTTGAGTTTTGACCACGTGACCGGGGGGGATGCTGTAATGGTCGTAAGTGTGAAAAATGGTCCATAAGTCACTTTTTTCAATGCCGTTGTAAATTCGAACGGTCACTAAATGAACCGTTGTGAGTCGAGGACTACCTGTATAGGGTCTTCTGCCTTGGCTAGGGGGTTGAACTAGAGGATCTCTAAGGTCCCTCCCTGCCCTAGGATTGTAGGACTACCTGCAGTAGCTGGAAATCAAACTGGACAGAATCCGTAATGCTTTTACGTAATTAACTCGGTGTGGGTGTGGCTATTGTTTTGGAGAGCAGTTAAAACCAAGGAACCATGCCGCTAGTCCTCATGCATGCACCATTTCAGCTATCCCTTGTCTTATTCGGTAGGTTTTTTTTTTCCATTTTCCAGTTTAAAAAAAACTACTTCACTGTTTTCCAGCGGCAAGATAGTTCTCCACTTACGACCACAACTGAGCCAAAAATTTCCATTGTTAAACAAAACACTTGTTTCTCCCCATTTTATGACCTTTCTTGCCACAGTTGTTAAGTGAATCCCTGAGGCTATTAAATGAGCCACTTGGGTTGTTAAGTGAATCTGGCTTCCCCCGTGGAATTTGCTTGTCAGAAGGTCGCAAAAGGGGATCATGTGACCCTCCCGGGACACTGCGACCGTCATTAATACGAGTCAGTTGCCAAGCGTCTTAATTTTGATCACGTGACCCAACGTGACTGCAACGGTCGTAAGTGCGAGAAACGCTCCTAAGTTGTAACTTTGAACAGACACTAAACAAACTTATAAAGGAAGGACTACCTGTATACTTTTCCCTTTAAAAAAAATGGTATTTATCTTCTAAAACCCAATTTCTGGACTTCTTGATAGCGGCAATCTCGTTTTCTCCCTGGGTGTTCGTCCCTCACTTTTCTTTGCTCTTCCAAATTGGGGCAATTTTCCCCTTATTCGTAACAACAGCAGGGCTCAAAATGCCTTAATAAGTCTTGAATTATTTTGTCCTTTCTCCCGTTCTTCTGCTGGATACTGTACACAAAATCTGCTTCTCCACCAAGAAAAATTTGTGTTAGAGACACAAGGAAGAAAAATAATAGCTTGCTCAAAAAAAGGCAAAATGGCTTTTAAAAATAAAATGAAAAATATGGGTAAAATGTGTCTTATTTCGCCCACATTTCTGGAGGCTACCTTTTATTCCTGATTGATCTTTTATACAAGAAGCTCTTTGACGAGACAGGAATCACTTCGCTTAATAAAGTTTTTAGGTCAAGTTGGGTCAGACCCTGTATTTGCAGGTAGTCCTCAGACTTATGACCACAATTGACTCCAAAACTTCCATTGACAAGCAAGACAGTTGTTTGTCCCATTTTTACCATCATTTTTGCCATGGTTGTTAAGCGAACCACTGCGCTTGTGAGGGGAATCGTGTGTTGTACAAGCAGGTCATTCGCCGTAAGTCAAGGACTTATGAGAAAAGGCTGCTTGTTTCCATTCTTTGCCACTTTGTGGATATATGTCGTCCTCTATTTACGACCAAAATTGAACCCAAAATTTCTCTTCCTAAGTGAGATAGTTGTTAAGTGAGTTTTGCCTCATTTTACGACCTTCCTTGCCACAGTTGTTAAGTGAATCACTGCAGTTGTTAAATTAGTCACATAGTCGTTAAGTGAATCCGGCTTCCCCATTGACTTTGTTTATCAGAAGGTCGCAAAAGGGGATCACCTGACCCCGGGACACAGCGACCGTCATAAATATGAGTCAGTTAATCAGGTGACCACCGGGATGCTGCAACAGTCGTAAGTCTGAAAAACGGTCCTGAGTCCCTTTTTTTCAGTGCCGTTGTAACTTTGAACGGTCAGTAAATGAATTGTCGTAAGTGGAGGACTTATCTGTATGTCAGGCTGCAACCTACGGTGTCTCTATCAATTCCTCTCCTAGACCCGAAGACTCCGTGTCCGAAATTCCACTTTTACCTCTGGACGTCTTGCAAGTGTTAACACAACAATTTACGTCTTCAGTGTCCCAAATTTCACGTGACGAAGTTGCAGAAGCTGGCTTGAAACAAGCTCTCTTGCTGACCAAGTTCTTCATCATTATTTGCAGGTAAGTCTTTATATATATAAAATATAACATAAACATGATATTGCAGGTCCTTCTGTGTGAATTTTGATTCTGGTTAGTTTCGGCCCTCCCTCTGGGAATATTTGCAAAGAAGCGATTATGCCATTTTTTCCAATTTAGACCGATGTTTGTAAATTACAAGTGATGAGATACACAACTTATGAACACAACTGAGCCCAAAATTTCTGTTTTCTAAGCAAGACAGATTTTAAGTGAATTTTGCCCCATTTCATGACAAACTTGCCTTCTCCTCGTCCTCTCCCTCCTTCTCCTCCTCCTCCTCCTTCTTCTCCTCTTCCTCCTTCTACTCCTCCTCCATTTTCAACTTTTCCTCCTCCTCCTTCTTTCTCCTTCTTCTTCTTGTCCTTCTCTTCCTCCTTCTCCTCCAATTTCTGCTCCTCCTCCTCCAATTTCTCCTTCTTCTCCTCCTCCTCCTCCTCCAATTTCTCCTTCTTCTCCTCCTCCTCCTCCTCCAATTTCTCCTTCTTCTCATTTTCCTCTTCCTTTTCTTTCTCCTCCTTCTCCTTCTCCTCTTCCTCCTTCTACCTCTCTTCCTTCTCCAATTTCAACTTCTCCTCCTCCTCCTCCTCCTCCTTGTCCTCCAATTTCTCCTCCTTTTCCTTCTCCTCCTCCTTTTCCTTCTCCTCCAATTTCTGCTCCTCCTCCTCCTCCAATTTCTCCTTCTTCTCCTCCTTTTCCTCTTCCTTTTCTTTCTCCTCCTCCTCCTCCTCCTCCTCCTCCTCCTCCTCCTCCTCCGAATAACAGAATAACTGATGGGACCTTGGAGGTCATCTAGTCTAACCCCCTGCTCAAGCAAGAGACCCTATACCCTTTCAGACAAATGGCTGTCCAGTCTCTTCTTAAAATCTTAAATTTCAGTCTCAAGTAGCATTCTGGCAGGCCTGGCGGCTCGTGAATGGCTGGTGGGGTCTGCAGAGATGCTGCGGGTGGCGTAGTTGTGATTATGGTTGCTAAGTTACTGGACACTTTGTCTGGCTGAGCGGACTGGTGTGGAAGCTTTCCTCAAAGGGAAGGGAAAGGGCAGCCTGGCATTTATTTCAACAAGACTGGGAAGGGTCTTTGGCTGGCCCTGAAGCAGTGAAAATGGGAGATTGCGATGCCTGGTGAATTCCTTCATTTTCCTTTTCTTTTTGCTCTTATTCCTCCTTCCTTCCTTCCTTCCTTCCTTCCTTCCTTCCTTCCTTCCTTCCTTCCTGCTTGCCTGCCTTCTTTTCTCTCCTTCCTTTCTTTTCTATTGCAATTTCTACTATTTCAGTTACTATTTCTCTTCTTTCTTCTCATTTCCCCTTCTTTCCTTCCTCTTTTTCCCTTCTGCTCTTTCTTTTATATTTCAATTTCTATTGCTATTTCTCTCTCTTTTCTTGTCATTTTCCTTCCTTCCTTTCTCTCTCCTTCCTTTGTATCTATTTCAGTTGGTTGTTTCTATTGCTATTTATCCTTTTCATTTCCTTTTCCTTTCTTCCATCCATCCTCCCTTCCTCATTCACTTGTTCCTTCTTTCCTTCCCTTTTCCTTTCTTTTCTTCCTAAGTCCCTCATGAAAAGCCCCCCCCCGGCATTCCAAAATTCTCATCCTTCCTGCACTTCCCACCAAAAATATTGATTGTGTGGCTTGAAATCCTCTTCAAATTCTTACGACTATCAGAATTTGACTTCCCTTTTTAATATTTGCCCCGGGGGGTGGGGGAATAGAAATAAATATATTATCAAAGGAGTGGTTGGTGGATAATCTTAGATAGTAGAGCTGGCTTGTGATAGAATCGCTTTCTTGGCGGCTGCAAAACACACCCTGCGATTGTCGGCGAGTTAATAGATCCTCTGAAGATTGGTTGATGAATGCCAGCTTCTCCAAAGTGGTGCCCTTCAGAACAACAGAGTGTATTTTGTGTTGGAAAGTCCCAATCCACATACGTCTGGCAGGGGAACTCCACAAATTATCATCCTTTGATGGGCACCAGATTGGGGACAGCATACTAAAAAGCAGAGACAACACCCTGCCAACAAAAGTGCGTATAGTCAAGGCCGTGGTTTTCCCAGTTGCAATGGACCATAAGAAAGGCTGAGCGCCAAAGAATGGAGGCCTTTGAACTCTGGTGCTGGAGAAGACTCCTGCAAGTCCCCTGGACTGCAAGGCGATCCAACCGGTCAGTCCTAGAGGAGATCAACCCTGACTGCTCTTTAGAAGGCCAGATCCTGAAGTTGAACCTCAAGTACTTTGGCCACCTAATGAGAAGGAAGGACTCACTGGAGAAGAGCCTGATGCTGGGAAAGACGGAGGGCAAGAAAAGAAGAAGGGAACGACAGAGAAGGAGGTGGCTGGATGGAGTCACTGAAGCAGCAGGCATGAGCTTAAATGGACTCCAGAAGATGGTAGAGGGCAAGAAGGCCTGGAGGAACGTGGTCCATGGGGTCGCGATGGGTCAGACATGACTTTGCAACTAACAACAAGGTTGGGGAACAGGACTTCCTGAAAGGCCTCTCCATCATCATCACTGTAGCTTCTCCTGTTGATGGTCCAGCCCAGAGGCCCCCTTGCAACCTGGAGGACCATCTTGAGATGCTGGCTTCCTACCCCAAAGCCCCCATATTAAAAGTCGGCCCCTAATTCCAGAAAGTGGCATCTCCCCAGGCCCCAAAATTCCTTTCTGAGGAACCCTATAGAGAAGCCAGGTCAAGAGAAGTGGCCCTCAAGAAAGCCTCCTTAGATGCCTTCAATCTTGGAGCAAGCAGGAGATCCTTCTGCTATTTCGGTTTCCATGGAAACCCATCCTCCATCCCTTCCGAGCATCTGTAAAGCTCTTTAAAGTATCCCCTCTCCCCTCGGTCCTTTCCTTGTCCCCCCAAATCTTTCAGTATGCAAGAAGAACCGGATCTCCTTCCTGTTTGGACAGAGATCCTGGCTGTAGGCCCTAATTCCTCAGCCCATGTGCCGAAAAGCTTCTTTCGGATCTTTGGTTTTTGGGGAGGGGAAGGTTCCCCTCCACCCTAAGGATCCATTTCCATGGGGTTTTTTTTCGGATGCTTTCCGTTTCTTTGGAAACCTGGAAGCTTTTTTCTGAAGCCCTTCCAATTCTTCCACAACAGTTTTCTACAAAGCTTGGAAGAAGATCTGCTAGCCTTTTGGGCGTGGACAATAGCAGAAATTTCACATTTCCATCAACAGAGACCGGAAACAGGAGTGTGCAACTGGCAGCCTTGCTCAATTCGTTCCTACAAACCCCTTTTAGACATAGTAGGGGAAAAAATATTGTTTTTGACCACAGTTGGGTTGAACTTTTCCCTATCTAAAAAAGCCAGCAAGGTTGACCGATCAGTGGAGGTGTGACTTTCCGGTTGCTCAAAAAAACCACAACGCCTGGACAGTCAATGTGCAAACAATGCCCCAGGTGTGTCTCCAGATGGCCAGGTTGGGTAAACCCTAATCAAACACACTTTTTCAAAGAGCCGGAGGAAAAAAATGGCAATTAAGCAACTTCAGTGGGTGTGTAATTTGGTTGACACCCAACTCGTCTCTTGGAGATGAAACTTTGAACTGGGTTTTGCCATCTGCTTAAGGCTGGGTTTTTTTGGGGGGGTTTTTGCAGAAGTGGGTAAGGTTGGGGGGGGGGGAGAAGAGGGCTGGTCCCCGGACCTTTGGATTTTTGCAAACTTTGTAATTCCTTGCTACAAGTGGAGCTTGCAATTGTTAACAAACTTGAGAGGTGTCATTTATTTTAACTATTATGTTTATTATTATGGTTTTATTAATACAGTTCGTTTTTGACTTCCAACTATTCATTAAACTAAATGTAACATAAAACCACTCTTTTCTTAGCCCGACGGAATTCTTGACTTCATTTAGTGATTGTTTAAAGTTACAACAGTACTGAAAAAGGGGACTTTACAACCTTTTTTCAAGTTTAGGATCATTGCAGCAGCCTCCCCCGTGGTCACATGATCCAAATTCAGACGCTTGACAACTGACTCATACTTACGACTGTCGCAGAGTCCCAGGGTCACGTGATTCCCCTTTTGTGACTTTTTGACCAGCAAAGTCAATTGGAAAGTCACATTTAATGATCCTGTTACTAACTTAATAACTGCAGGAGTTCTCTTAGAGGCTGCAGCAAGAAAAATCATAAAAGTGGGCAAAACTCACTTAGCAACAGAAATTTTGGGGTCAATTGTGTTCATAAGTCGAGGACTACCTGTACTTTGGGAATCTCAGAAAAATTAGAATAAAAAGGCTGGATGTAGCAGAGGAGTGGAACATGACTTTAGTTAGTAAAACTGGTAATTGTCAACTTACTTTTCTCTTACGTTTGTTTGAACCAGAGCAAAAAAGTGGCTGGAGTTGGGTTTTTTTTAATGCACTTTAAACTTCAGGAATCCACTTTGAGTTTTTATTCTGAAAACTGCCCTTAAAAATAGGAAGCTGGTTTGTTTTCCAGTCTAAATGTTGCACCTTAAAAACAGGAAACTGGTTTGGTTTCCTCTCTAAAAGTTGCACTTTTAAAAATAGGAAGCTGGTTTGTTTTCCACTCTAAAAGTCGCACGTTAAAAATAGGAAGCTGGTTTGTTTTCCAGTCTAAAAGTTGCACGTTAAAAATAGGAAGCTGATTTGTTTTCCAGTCTAAATGTTACACCTTAAAAACAGGAAACTGGTTTGATTTCCTCTCTAAAAGTTGCACTTTTAAAAATAGGAAGCTGGTTTGTTTTCCTCTCTAAAGAACTGCACCTTAAAAATAGGAAGCTGGTTTGTTTTACCCTCTAAACACTGAACATTGGTCTCTGTTCTAAAATTTGCATATGAAAATACTGAAAACCGATTTGGTTTTCTTTTCTAAAGAAAGTCAAAATTTAAAAATACGGCAGCCTGTCTTGTTTTTGTTTTGAAAGCTGCATGTTAAAAAAAAAAAAAAAAGCTAAAGCAAAATAGAGATTAGCTAAGCAGCACTTATCATGGCCAGTATTCAAAAACACAGTTTCCTTGTCGACTTGTTTAGTTTATATGACAAATTTAACCAATAAATAGATTAAATATTGCTTTGTTTGCTGGCAAGGTATTTTACTGCTGAAAGGTCCCTCCTGGGTTCATTTTATTCCTTCTCTGAAGATATTAAATATTTCTTTTACCCCAAAAAAACCCTTGTTTTTCTTTCCCCCCCACCTTAAGAACAGCCACAGGGAACAATCAGATAAAAGTGCCAAATAATGTCTGCCATAAATTTGTCTGATTTCAATCCCAGATTTTAGGATATTCAGGTAGTCCTTAACTTACGACCACAATTAGGAACAAAACTTCCATCACTAAGTGAGAAGGTCATTAAGCGAGTCCTCCTGAATTTGCATCTTTTTTTTGGCTGTGGTCGTTAAGCGAATCACTGTGCTTCAGCAATTCACTGCAGTTAAGACAATGGCCCGCTGTTAGCATTATAATAATAATAATAACAGCTCCCCCTGTTAGCATAATAATAATAATAATAATAATAATGATGATAAAGTTGGAAGGGACCTTGGAGGTCATCTACTCCAACCCCCTGCTCAGGCAGGAAACCCTATACCAGTGATGGCGAACCTTTTAGAGACCGAGTGCCCAAACTGCAACCCAAAACCCACTTATGCATAGATGGGTGCCGGGTGGGTGTGGCCCATTGGGTGGGCGTGGCTGCAGTGGTAACAGCAGACTGAGTGGGACTAAAAAGTTCAATCAATCAATTCCAACTTTGCAAGATCTTTTTTTTACCTGCGAGAAGTTGAAATTGACTGATTGATTGAACCTTTTTTTTTGTACACGGCGGCGGAGGCCTAAAGCAAAAAGGTTTTATAAAACCCAGCTGAAGTCCTAGGACTGGGGCGACGGGGTGCGTGCCCACAGAGAGGGCTCTGAGTGCCGCCTATGGCACCCGTGCCATAGGTTCGCCACCACTGCCCTATACCATTTCAGAGAAATGGCTGTCCAGTCTCTTCTTAAAAACTTCCAGTGTTGGTGCATTCACCACTTCTGGAGGCAGGTTGTTCCACTGGCTAATTGTTCTCACTGTCAGGAAGTTTCTCCTTAGTTCTAGGTTGCTTCTCTCCTTGATCAGTTTCCACCCATTGCTTCTTGTCCTGCCTTCAGGCGCCTTGGAAAATAGCTTGACTGCCTCTTCTCTGGGGCAGCCCCTGGCTGGGAATGCCCTAACTGGTAATCACGTGACCTTGGGGCACTGCAATCATTGTAAATGTAGGATGGTTGCCAAGAACTAAATTTTGAATGTGGGGACTGTCATAAGTGCAAGGACAGTCGTATGTGTGAGGACCTTTCGTAAGTCAGTGGCCATTATCACTTCAAACGGTCAGCCAACAACTAGTCATAAGTTGAGGACTGTTGTACATAGTGTTACTTCTTCCTGATTCCTGTCAACCCCCCACAATAGCCCTGCGAGGGAGGCAATTGGCCCAAAGAGGCAGCTTCACCTTAGGCATGTAAGCCAATTAGGTGGCTTTGGGCCCATCACCAGGAGACGGTGAGTTCTAGTCCCGCCTTAGGCATGAAAGCCAGCTGGGTGACTTTGGACCAGTCCCTCTCTTTCCCAGTGCAACCCACCTCGCAGGGCTGTTTTTATCAGGAAAATAGGAGGAGGATAGATTCACCAGCTTGAGTCATTTGTAAAAAGAATAAAGGCAGGATAGAAATAAAGAAAATAAAATCAATAGAAATAAATTGTCCACACCCACACCCACACCCAAAGCAGAGCTCCACTGGCCCAGCTGTATGGGACTACTACTCCCATCGTCCTCAAACAGAGCTGGCAGTGGGGATGATGGTCCAGCCGATCTGAAGGCATGTGCCGAGCAATGTTTTATTTTTAACCCAACAGGAAGGGGGGCAGACAGCGCCTTGCGCTACCCGTCTTCCTGTGACACTGCGGTTGGTAAGCTGAAGATAAGCACCCGGGGAATTTTAGCACAGGCAACCAAGATGGAAGACGAGGAGAGATCAGAATTAAAATGTGGGGAGGGGAGAGGCCAGGAGTAACCCCGGATAAATTTGGGGGTGTTCCATCTTGTCTGGGTGAGGTTCTCCCGCATATCTGAAGACGATGCCCACAACTGAAGCTCCAAGCATCTTTCTACCTAGACAGGTGTTTCTCACCCCTGGCAAGAGGGAGATGGGCGGACTTTCTGGCTGGGGGATTCTGGGAGTGGAAGCCCTCCCCTCTTAAAGCATGCCGGCTGGGGGATTCTGGGAGTGGAAGCCCTCCCCTCTTAAAGCATGCCGGCTGGGGGATTCTGGGAGTGGAAGTCCTCCCCTCTTAAAGCAGGCTGGCTGGGGGATTCTGGGAGTGGAAGTCCATCCCCCTTAAGGCATTCAGGCTGGGGGATTCTGGGAGTGGAAGTTCACCCATCTTAAAGCATGCTGGCTGGGGGATTCTGGGAGTTGCAGCATCCCTATGGTCATTTGATCAAAATTCGGACACTTGGCAACTGACTCATATTTATAACGGTCGCAGTGCCCCGGAGTCACGTGATCCCCTCTTGCGACCTTCTGACGAGCAAAGTCAGTGGGAAAGCCAGATTCACACAATACCCATGAGACTAACTTAACAACCGCAATGATTCACTTAACAACTGTGGCAAGAAACGTCGTAAAATGAGGCAAAATTAATTTAATAAATGTCTCACTTATTGGGCTCCATTGTGGTTCTACGTTGAGGAGTACCCGTGTTACTGATGCTATAATTACTAATCATTATTAATTAGGAATGATAACAAATTAATTATTAGGATTTGCTATCACCGTGCAGGCTGTCCTGTGTAAACTGAGTTCGACGCCGGATAACTTTTCCCATTTTTCAAGGTGGCTTCTGGTTTTCCTTGCAGGAATCTCGAAAACGTTCAGGATGAGCGTCCACCCCTGTTCGTCCACGAGCTGGTCGTTCTGCTGTCCACCTGTTCGAAAAAGGTAACCCTGATCTTCTGAGCCCTCTAACCAGGGTTAGGAGGGAGGCTTCCCTTACCCACAAGAGATGCAGGTTGTTGAAGATAAAGGAGGACATTCATTTTGTCGCTCAGATCCTCGCAAGGAGAAAGCTAAGTAACAAACAACAGCCTTGCAGTGTCTTTCATGCAGGGGATGCCCAGGAGAACAGATGTTGGCTTGACCGCAGGATCAAAGCTTGTGAAACCAATGGGGGGGGGCTTTGATTGTGTGGTGATGGCTATCATCTGGAGGCTTGCTACCCTTCCCAGCCTGGGTCCGGGGCTAAATACACGTTATCCTCGACTTACAACCATTCATTTAGTGACCGTTCAAAATTACAACTGTTGTGAAAAAGTGACTTAGGACCTTTTTTCATCCCTACGAGCGTTGCAGCATCCCCGTGGTCACGGGATCAAAATTCAGACAGCTCGGTCACTGATTCGGCCATTTATGATGGTCACAGCGTTCCCTGGGGATCACACAATCCACCTTTTAGGATCTTCCGATGAGCAGAGTCAATGGGTGGCTGGATTCACTTAACGGCCGTGTGACGGATTAAACATTCACTTCACAACTGGGGCAAGAATGATGGTAAAATGGGGGCAAAGCTCACTTAACAACTGTCTTGCTTAGCGAAAGAAATTTTGGGCTCAATTGTGGTCGTAAGTCGAGGACTCCCTGTCTGTTATTTAATAGATTTATTTCAATTTGGGATGGTCATGGGACCTGCACTTTGTTTACCAGATACTCTTACACAGTTGCAGGTATTCCTGAAAAATCAATGTTTTTCAACCTCGGCTACTTGAAGATGGGTGGGCTTCAACTCCCAGAATTCCCTACCCGACATGAAGCCTAAAGAATTCTGGGAGCTGGAGTCCACCCATCTTCAAATTGTCAAGATTTGAGGAATGCTGGAACAGAGAATAAAAACCTTAAAACTCCCCATATCCATCCACACTGGACTCCCTCCCTCCCTCCTTTCTTTCTTTCTTTCTTTTTCTTTTCTTTCTTTCTTCCCTCTTTCACTCCTTCCTTCCCCCTACCTCCTCCTCCTTCCTTTCTTTATTTCCTTTAATTTTTCCCTTCTTCCTCCCTCTCTCTCCCCCTCTCACTGTCAGTTTTCCTTCCTTCCTTCCTTTTTTCTTACACTCAGTTCCTCCCTATTTTTGTTCCTTCCTCCCTCCTTCTTTTCCTTCCTTCTTTCTCCTCCCTCCCTCCCTCTTTCCTTCCTTCCTTTTTCTTTCTTTTTTTCCTTTCTTTCTTTTTTTCCTAACAGTCATTTCTTCCCCTCTCTTTTCTTCCTCCCTTTCTTCCCTTCTCCTCCCTTCCTCCCTCCCTCATTTTCTTTCCTCCCTCCCTCCTTCCATCTTTCTGTCCTTTCTTTCTTTTTTCCTAACACTCATTTCCTTCCTCTCTCTTCTTCCTCCTTCTTCTCCTCTCTCTCTTCCTTTCCTTTTTTCCCTCCCTCCCTCCCTCCCTCCCTCTGAAATGTCCTTTACTGTGAATCCTGAATTTTCCTGCCTTCTGATCTCCCTTGTTGAAAGAAAGACTTTTTCCGGAACAAGACTAGAGAAACGCTGAAGGTGGTTAATTTGTGGTTAACTCCCCGACAGCTCAACAGCTTCCAGGCGGATCCTTGGCCCCACCATGGCCCGCTGGAGAGCATCACGCTCTACGCCCTGCACCTTTGCGAATGTCTCTTCGATCCCTACCAGACCTGGCGGAGGCAGCTGAGCGGGTGAGTGGCTTTCTGTCATCGACCATGTGAAGGTCACATCTCAGGGAGAACCTGCTAGGCAGGTGATGAGAGCTGCTTGGCCACATCTGGCCAGAGGTGAACGGCTGGACCTTGTAGATTAATGGCCCCCAACCAGTGGTGGGATTCAGATACCTGAATAACCGGTTCTCTGCGTGGATGCAGGTCTGGGCCTCAAAGGCCTAGAACGGACTTCCGGAAGTGATATCCACACACTTCCGGCGGGCTGTTCTAGGCCTGGGAGGCCTCCTCCAGGCCTCTGAGGCTTAGAACAGACTTCCGGAAGTGACATCCACGCACTTCCGGCAGGCCATTCTAGGCCTGGGAGGCCTTCTCCAGGCCTCTAAGGCCTAGAATGGAGTTCCGGAAGCAGTGTGGGTTCAACCAGTTCTCTGAACTCAACAAAATTTAGCTACCGGTTCTGCCGAACTGGTGCGAACCGTCTGAATCGCACCACTGTCCCCCAACCTTTTGGGCACCAGGAACCAGTTCCGTGGAGAAAGGCTTTTCCGCGGACTGGAGGGGGCATGGTTTTGTATGCTGCCTGCATCCCGTGGATGGGGCTTCGCTTGTTTGTGTGGACCGGTTGCAGGCATGCCATGGCGTGGTACCGGTCCACAGACCGGGAGTTGGGGACCCCTGTTGTAGATTGTCTCCTGGTGGGCAGTATGAAAGGGAGACATTCTCTAATAGGCTGCCAATCCAGTTCAAAATGTTGGTTATCTATCTATTGCTAAAACCTGTGTGTCTGTTTGTTTGTCACCTTCAATGGGACAATACGATGCTTCGTACAGCAACGACTTTTGAACTAACAGACCTCAAATAGGCTAACTTACAGAATGCATCCAAGATCCAAGACCCCTGGGGTTTTTTTTGGGGGGGGGGAGGATTAAAATTTGGCAATGTTGCAGCCATTTCAGTACAATCAGCTGCAATAACATGATCACCATTTCAGTAACATTCATGATCATTTCAATAAGATTCGTGATTATCATTTCAATAATAAAAGTGGGGTACCCCAGGATCACAAAAAATCAGACACAACTTAGCGACAGAACAACAATAGCAATAACTAAATAAAAATAAAATTTTCCATGGCTCTCTGCCACCTTCCTATAGGGAGAGTCATTGGGGAAGCCAGCAGGCAATCGAATGTTGATCCTATTCCACTCATATAAATTATTTAAATAAACATATTAAAAATCTGGAGCTTCCCCCTTCCTGGTGAGGTTGCCGAAGGCTGCTTGGGCTAAGCACAAGCCAAGAATTTGCATGGTGCATACATTTTTTGTGGGTTTCCATGATATGGTGCCAAGATTGACGATACAAGTGAACCTTGATGTACAACCACAGTCGAGCCCAATTGCTAAACAAGATAGTTGTGAAGTGAGTTTTGCCACATTTTACAACCTTTTTTGCCACAATTGTTAAGTGAATCCCTGCAGTTGTTAAGTTAGTGACATGGTTGTTAAACGAATTTGGCTTCCCTGTTGACTTCGCTTGTCAGAAGTTTGCAAAAGGGGATCATGTGATCCCGGGACACTTACAACTGTCATAAATATGAGTCAGTTGCCAAGTGCCTGAATTTTGATGAGGGTTAGGGTCACTAAATGAACTATTGTAAGTCGAGAACTATCTATATTGAATCCTAAGCAGACCAGGTGTTCTGCTTAATTCAAAACTAGATTCCTACTGCCGGTTAGGGAATTCTGGAAGTTGAAGTCCACCCATCCTCAAGATGCCCAGGCTGAGAAACACGGCTCTAAAGTGCTATATGGCCTTCCTTGACTTACGACTGGTCGCTTAACAATCCTTCAACATTACGACCAACCTGGAAAAAAAGGAGACTTAAAATTCAGACCACCCCTTGGGGCCACCTTATGCTAACAACTTCAGGATTCACTTAACAACTGTGGTGGTTCACTGAAACCCCACGGCGAGAAAGGTTGTAAAATCCTATGTGACTCACTTAACGACCGCCTCACTTAGCGACAGACATTTTGATTTCTTTTTGTGGTCGTAAGTCAAGGACTACTTGTACCGCTTTTGAAGACATCATTCCTCTCTCTCTGATCACTGCCCACACACATTGGGCTTCAGTTTCCTTGCTAATCCACAGCCGGGGATGATGGGAACTAAATCTGGCACAGAAAACAGACTTTAAGGCAACAATTGCATGAGTGTGAGGGTTTTTTTCGCCCCAATTGGCTCTTGTTATTCCCTTACACCTCCTTCCAACGTCTCTCACACCCTTTTGTGTTGTTTCCTTCCCAGGGAGATTGTGAGTGCGAAAGAGAAGAACAAATACAAGTTCACACCAGCTGTGTTGCCTCCGGAGTTCGGTTCCTTTTTTGAAGGTACACGTGGCAGCGTCACTAAATATTCTCTCTTTCTCTCTTCCCCACCCTGCAGAAAAAACAACAACCCTTCTTTCTACTTTTAATTGCTTTTTAATTACTCACCAAAGAAGAGCAAAACACAAAAATCACAGTGATTGTCAAAGAGGAGAAGGGAGAAAAAAAGTAATATTTTCATTAAACAAGACAATATAGAATTGTTATCAGGACATATCTGCTGTTTTCTTAATTCAGTTCCTTAAAACTCAATGGAGTTTTATTTAATTAAAATTAATGATTGATTAAAATTAATCATGGATTAATTGCTTTTTTAATTAGTAAGAAAACATGAGCAAAAGGCAAAAGGAGTCGTGAGAGTGAGACACCCATTGTCAAAGAGAAGAAGAAAAAAACACATATCAAAAGTGCCTTAACAAAAAAAAAACCAGTTTTATAATTGTATTAGATTGATATATGTAATATTCTCATTAGGCAAACATATGCAGGGAGTCCTCGACTTACGACCACATTGAGATCAAAATTTCCGTTGCTAAGTGAAACGTTTAAGTTAATTTTGTCCCATTTTATAATCTTTCTTGCCACAGTTTTTAAGTGAATCACTGCCGTTGTTAAGTGAGTAACACAGTCGTTGAGTGAATCTGGCTTCCCCCATTGACTTTGCTTGTCATAAGGTCACAAAAGGGGATCATGTGACCCCAGGACACTGCGACCATCATAAATATGAGTCAGTTGCCAAGCCTCTGAGTTTTGATCACGTGACCCATGGGAAGGTTGTGTAAATGTGAAAAACTGGGTTTTTTTCTCTTCCATTGCTTTTGAACTTATCCTCTTAAATTTAAATTTAAATTTTTAAGTTAGATATTAAATTTAATATCTACGCAAGGAATCCTTCCTAAAAAGAGCACCTCTTCTTGGCTCATTAAACACACACACACACAAAATCACAAACACACAAATGCAGGGTGGAGTAGATTTCCAGAAACCGTTGATGCTTTTAATATTAATTACCTGCCTGCCAGGAATTTTGGGGACTTTTCTTAACTGAAAACCCCTTGAATAAATGCATTTTCACAGCATTTTTCTTTACTTCTAGGGACTTTACATGCAGGTTGCCAGAAATGCCTCACCATCATGGTTTCTTCTGGTCTTAATTTAGCGTGAAACTACCCCCCCAACCAACTTTCTTGGTTAATTGGTGTCTATCAGCTTCTTTTTGCTAAAAAATAAGTATGGGTAATCCTCAAGTTACAAGTTATTCAAACTTACAAAGGCACTAAACAAAAAAGGGACTTATGACTGTTTTTCACACTTACGACCGTTGCAGCATCCCCAGGGTCACGTGATCAGAATTCAGAGGCTTGGAAACTGGCATGTACTTATGACAGTTTCAGTGTCCCGGGCTCACGTGATCCCCTTTTGCGGCCTTCTGACAAGCAAATTCAATGGGAGAAGCCCAATTCACTTAACAACCATGCTGCTAACTTAAGAACTGCAGGGATTCACTTAACAACTGTGGCAAGAAAGGTTGTAAAATGGGGCAAAACTCACTTAGCAACTGTCTCGCTTAACAACAGAAATTTTGGGTTCAGTTGCGGTCATAAATGGAGGACTGCCTGTATTAGGGAATTTAAGATTATTTTTCCTTATGATCACTGACCAGAATTGTAAGCAAAAACAAATTTAAAATAAAAGTAAAGAACGGCTACTCCTGAATTTAGGACCATTGTGGAGCCTGCTCATGATGGACGTAAGTCAGGATGGCCGTAAATGCTATTTCTGAATCTTAACAACTTTAAGATATGTGGACTGCAGTTCCCAGAATTCCCTGGCCAGTCATCTCTCCATCCATCTTAAAGCATGGCTGACTGGAGGATTCTGGGAGTGGAAGTCCTCCCCTCTTAAAGTATGCCAGCTGGGGGATTCTGGGAATTGGAGTCCACCCATCTTAAAGTATGCTGGCTGGGGGATTCTGGGAATTGGAGTCCACCTATCTTAAGGCATTGTGGTAGGGCATTCTGGGAGTTGAAGTCCTCCCCTCTTAAAGTGGCCAGCATTGAGAAACACTGCACTTTCCTTGGATCATTTAGTCAAGGCGGCTGGAGGTGGGTGTTTAAAGAATTAATTGTTTGATTTGATTTTTTTTCCCTCCCTCCCTCCCTAGAATGCTTTGAAATGGACCAAGAGCTCCCAGAATACCTTCAGTTGCGGCTAATCCACCTTTTTGGGGCAATTCTCTCTGGATCCAAGGCAAGTCTTTGAGCATCTGCATTTAAAAGCCTCCAGGAGAATTACAGAATTCTAGATTTAGAAGGAACTCTAGAGGCTATCTAGTCCAACCCCCTGCTCGGTGTCGGGTCTCAAAGCAAAGTCATTGGGTGAAGGTAGATTTGCACAGTGACCGCACCATTCCCTTAACAACTGCTGTGATTACCTTAACTACCTTGTCAAAAAAGATTGCAAACCCAGATGGGCCTCACTTAACAACCGCCTTGCTTAGCAACGGATTACCTGGGAGGAGTGGGCTGGGAGCAGAGATCTAAATAGAGAAGGATCCACTCCTGCTTTAGCTCTTAAAGAGATATACGAAGGGATGGAACACCAAGAGGAGACCAAGTCCCTCACCAAAAATCCCTTGGCCCATGTTCCACTGCCTGCATGGAGCATGTATAAGCTCTAAGGAGACATGAGGCAAAATAAAAAAAAAATATTTAGCTTTTCTGCTTTTCTCTCCTGTTGATGATCGATCGGCTTTCCATAACTCTTTGATTACAAGAGATACCGAGTCCCATGGTTCCCAGCCGAGGAGCCAACCACTGTGCTGTTTGCAAATTGGGAGGGTTGTGGTTGAGCATCGTGAGAGGAAGAGAACCATAATGGAACCTGTCCTTGAAGTACAGGTAGTCCTCAACTTACGACCACAGCTGAGCCCCAAAATTTCTGTTGCTAAGCAAGTTAAGTGAGTTTTGCTTCATTTTGCAACCTTTTTGGTCGTTAAGTGAATTGCTGCAGTTGTTAAAGGGATCGTGTGGTCTTTAAACGAATCCAGCTTCCCCCATTGACTTTGCTGGTCGGAAGGCGGCTAAGGGAATCACTGCAGTTGTTAAATGAACTATATGGTCATTAAGTGAATCAAAATTCCCCCATTGATTTTGCTTGTCAGAAGATAGCTAAGTGAATGGGTGCAGTTGTTAAACGAATCGTGTGCTCATTAAGGTAGGGATGATTTTAAGAAAATTTTAATTGACACACAGCTTCCAATATTTGGCTTTTAATTTGGTTTTATGGGGGTTTTTTGTTTTTTGATGTATTTTGTTTGTATCTGTTTTAATATGCTGTGCACCGCCCTGAGTCCTACGGGAGAAGGGCGGTATATAAATTAAATTATTAAATTAAATTAAATTAAATTAAACTTCCCCCATTGGCTTTTCTCGGCCACAAATAGCAGTCACATGATCCTGGGACTGTAACCGTCGTAGGTACATGCCAGTTGCCAAGCCTTGTAATTTCAATAACATGACCCTGGAGATGCTGCAACGGTCGTAAGTGTGAAAAACGGCCCTAAATCTCTTTTTTTCTGGAGCAGTTGCTAAATAAATGGTCGTAAGTCGAGGATTACCTAGCAAGCCATGTTCTTTTCCTGGAGGTAGACCTCCTGGTCTACTTGAAGCCAAACATCGGTGGTCTTCTTCTCCTTCTTCATAGCAAAACGCTCTCCAGATGATCACCCCATCGGCGGTCGAGGTCCTCATGCTGGTCCTCCGGAGGTGGTGCCTTCCGGCCAGCGGACCCACCAAGGACCCCCAGTTGCTGCAGATGACCCTCAAGAGCGTGGTGTCCATGGTTCACGTCCTCCACAGCAGCAGCCCAAGCCAGCGGGCCGTGGAGATCCGAGCCATCTTGGACAGCTTCTTCAAAGTCCTTAACGCCGACCAACCCTTGGCCTCCTCGCTGGAAGGGTCGCCAGGCCCTCACTGGGAGGAGAAGCTGATCACGCTGCGGGTGAACATGCTGGGTAAGGGGGAAGAGTTGGTGGGGGGGGGGTCTCCTGGCCTGGAGGGGAGAGACCTCTGCTTTGGCCGACAGGGCCATCAGCGAAGGGATCGCGTATCTCACAAGGTTGTCCATGTGATTAGAAAAGAATATTTGTAGTTTAGGACTGAAATGTGGGGTCCTGCGTGCCCTCTGAGCTTGGTGGTTTTCTTGCAGACATTTCATGACACAACTAAGTAACATCACCAGTGCTGGAAGGAACTCTGTAGAAACAGAGGGCAAACCCTCCCTGCCTTGTAGCCGTGATGATGTTCCCTAGTTGGGTCATGAGACGTCTATAAGAAAACTACCAAGCTCAGAGAGCTCCAAGGACCCCACAGTTGTCGTCCTCCTGCTCCTGCTCCTCCTGCTCCTCCTCCTTCTCCTCCTCCTCCTCCTCCTCCCACTCCTCACTCTTTACTCTCCCCTTCTAACACTGATAATGTTACCTACTTGGGTCATAAGATGTCTACAAGAAAACAAACAAGCTCAGAGAACACCAAGGACCTCACAGCGGTCCTCCTCCTCTTCCTCCTCCTCCTCCTCCTCCTCCTCCTCCTCCTCCTCCTCCACTACTACACAACCCCTCCCCTCTTCCTTCTAGATGAAACCCCTACAAGAAAACCTCCAAGCTCAGAGAGCAGCAAAGTCCCTACATTGTCCATGTCCTCATTCAAAATCTAAACAATGTTCAGTTTCTTAAGAACCAATGAAACATTTCTGAAATCCAAGACAAATCTGTGGTGTAGCAACAGGCCACAAATCTCAGGAAAGATGAGAAGGCCAGTCTGGTCCTTCCAAGATCTGAAAGCGAACCCAGAGGTCCAGCATTAGAACCTCTCTCTGGTTGATGTCCCATCTCTCTGAGATGTCTCCTCAGAAATCTTATGGAAGGTCTTCAGAATTGGGATGGCTGGTTGCCCTAGAACTTAACTGGCATTGTGGACCACAAAACCAGTTGGGTCTACTGAGATGGAACTCTCGACTCTTTCTTTGGGGTCTTCACCCCAAACCTGGAAACAGAGCTTTCTGTTTCTGGAGAACCTCAACGGAAGCGACTTCAGTCTCCACTTAGCAATCGTGGTAACTTGGCCAATAAGCAACGTCTGATCAGGGCACTGCCAGAAGTTCAAATCTGGGTCGTAAGTACAGGTACTCCTTGACTTACGACCACAATTGAGCTCAACACTTTGGTTGCTAAGCGAGACAGTTGTTGAGTGAGTTTTGCCCCATTTTATGCCCTTTCTTGCCACAGTTGTTAAGTGAATCACTGCAGTTTTTAAATTAGGAACACGGTTGTTAAGTGAATTGGGTTCCCCCATTGAATTTGCTCGTCAGAAGGTTGCAAAAGGGGATCGCGTGACCCCCCCCCCCGGGACACTGTGACCGTCATAAATACAAGTCAGCTTCCAAGCATCTGAATTTTGATCACATGACCGTGGAGATGCTGCAACAGTCGTAAGTCTGAACATCGGTTGTAAGTCCTTTTGTTCAGCTCCGTTGTAACTTTGAACAATCACTAAAAGAACGTTTTTCTTAAGTCAAGGACCTTGTGTATCTTTTGGGGAAGATTTGTGTGTCTGTCGAAGCTTTGAGCAGTGTCAAAACCACCGGGTCATACATTGATCCTGTGCCCAGTTGCTGTCTGAACGTGGTCTGTCTTTTCTCTCTCTTCAGACGCCATTCCAGAAATGTTGAATTCTGACGACCGGCCGGTCTTGCAAGCCATGTTCCTGAGCAACAATTGTTTTGAACACATCATACGATTGATCCAAAACAGTAAGGTAAAAAAAAAAAATCCTTGTTTTTCCAACTGACATTGGTGGGTTTCCTTAAATTTCAGAAAAATATTTTTTCAGGTTTTTTTTTTTTTTCTGTTTTGGAAAAAAACCAAGACTGGTGAATAATTGCCACGAAAGAGGTTTCTCGTGGTCCAATCTCAACTCCTGTTTTTCTAGAGGTGGTCCTCGACTTACGACCAGAATAAGGGAGACGGTGGATAAGTGAGCTTTGCCATTTGACGAGCTTCCTTTCCATGGTTGTTAAGTGAATCAATGCACTTGTTAAATTAGCCACTTGGTTGTTAAGTGAATCTGGCTTCCCCCATTGACTTTGCTTGTCGGAAGATCGCAAAAGGGGATCACGTGACCCCCCCGGGAGACACTGCGACCGTCATAAATATGAGTGAGTGGCCAAGCGTCTTAATTTGGATCACGTGACCTTGGGGAGGCTACAACGGTCGTAAGAGTGAAAAACGGTCATAAGTCCCTTTTTTCAGTCCCGTTGTAACTATAAATGGTCACTAAATGAATGGTTGTAAGTCGAGAACTATCTGTACATCCTGGGAGGGGTGTCCTTAAATCCCTTCTGCCTCTAAAATAGAATGAGTGTGTATACCACATGGGGCAAAAAAATCAAAATGGCAGCCCCAACAACCACATAATTGTACAAAGAAACGGGCAAAGCTCAGCTTGCCCACCATTTTAGGGTTTTTTTTTTAATGCTTCCTGCTCTGCTGAAGCTTTATTTAAAAAAAATAGATTGCTCTGAGCTATGTGGAGCTTCTAAAATAAAAAAATACTTAATAATTACTAATTGATAATTATTGATTAATAATGACAGCTAATTAATAACTAACTGATTAATAGCACTATTGTTAGAGCTAGGCAGTTGAGGCTGTGTAGGTTCTGCCTCAGAGAGGGATTATACGTCGGGGAACGTTCCAAGCAATTTCTCAAGGCATAAACTAGGATAAGTTGGGTTATGGTCAGGGTTAGCATTTAGGGTTAGAACTTGGGGGTTGCAAAAGAACATTAGATCCTTGCCAGGAATCAGAGGATGTCCTCTAAGTCCTTGGGGGTCATTAAGCAAATCTATTTTCCCCAGTGGATGGTTTTCGGGTGTAGGAAACGAGGGTTGGGAATCGCAACGAAAACGATTGTGGTGGAAAACCTTTTGAATGAAAAGGACGACGGATAGTTTTGCGTCCCAGATGGTTCCTGTTCGTTGTCCTCCCCCTTCAAAACCCTTCTGGAAAAGCTCGTAAATAAACCCTGATTTCTCTCTTTTCGAGGTGGGACCTGCTCTGCTCTGTCTCTCCTGGGGCTATTTTTAAACCAGGCTTTTTTTTAAACAAACAAGGATCTGTTCTTCCTCTCCTGTCACTTTCCTCTTTGCCGGTTTTTCCATTTTAACATTGTTTGTGCACGTCCGTGGTCATCTTAACCCGGAGACTCGCTGGCCAGCGTAACCCACTGAGGCTCCTGGTTGCTACAACACACTTCCCAATTTTCCACCAGACTCACAATTCGGCAATCACAACAATGCTTTTTTTACTGGTGGGGGAGGGAACAGTGGGGGGGGGGACTAGGGTTTGGGATGGCTTCGCATGTCAGACAGCTGCAGCCTGCGAGTTTGAGAATTGGGTTTGTTTGGGGGTGCTCAGGAACCCCCATTAATTGTGAGGATGCCGGTAGTCTCGACTTACAACCACAATCAGGATTGGGATTTCCGTTGCTAAGCAAGGTGGTAAGTGAGTTTTTATGACCTTTCCCCCACATGGTCGTTAAGCGAATCACTGCAGTTGTTAAGCGAATCACACGGTCATTAAGTGAAACCGGCTTCCCCCTGCTGATTTTGCTTGTCAGAAACCAGCTGGGAAGGTCACAAACAGTGATTGTGTGACACGGCAATACATGTTGGTTGCCAAGCACCCAAATTTTTATCCCGTGACAATGAAGATGCTGCAAAGGTCATAAATGTGAGGACCAGTTATAACCCACTCTTTTCGGAACTTCAAACGTTCCCTAAATAAATGGTTGTAAGTTGAGGCCTGCCTGTAGATTTCGGGGTCCTTGGGCCACTATGCAGCTTGACCACCCCAAACTGCTGGTCCTAAGCCTTCCGAATCTTTTATCCTGTATTCTGTCCGGTTTGGGTTGTGTGGAAACAACCAGACAATAGAAGGGAGTGTTTGTGGGTCAGGGTTGAATTCTGAGGGGTCCCTGGTGGTCCCTGAGGTTGGGGGTTTCCTTGCAGACGTTTCATGACCCAACTAGGTGGCATCATCAGTGCTAGAAGGAGGAGGAGGAGGACGACGAAGATGAGAAAGAGGAGATGAGGAGGAGGAGGAGGAGGAGGAGGAGGAGGAGGAGGAGGAAAACTGTGGTGTCCTTGATCCTCTCTGAGGTTGGTGGTTTCCTTGCAGACATTTCATGACCCAACTAGGGAATATCATCAGGGCTACAAGGGGTGGTGTTGCTCTATGTTTATATAAGATGGCATGCCCTATCAATGTTGGGTGGGGTGTCAAGAAACTACAAAGACCACTCCCACCAATATTGCCTCCGCAAGCCACTAGTATATAAAAAGATAGTAAACTCCACTCCCTTCTAACACTGATGATGTTACCTAGTTGGGTCATGAAATGTCTGCACGAAAACCACCAAGTTCAGAGAGCACCAAGGACCCCACAGTCCTTCTTCTTCCTCCTCCTCCTCCTCCTCCTCCTCCTCCTCCCCCCACCACCTTACAGTACTGATGACGTTCCCTAGTTGGGTCACGAAATGTCTGCAAGAAAACAGCCCAGCTCAGAGAGCCCCAAGGATCCCCACAGGAGCTACAAAGATTCTCTTCTATTTTGAAAATCTGGGCAATTCAAATGTTCTGGTGTGTAGAGAGCCTTGTTCCTCTCCAGAAGTCCTGGGCTCTGCTCTCTGGGCAACTGGGGCCAAATCTCTGGGCCCCTCCTTTTCTGGGGAGACCCTCCCCCAGGCCCAGCCTCTCCCCCCTTCGCCCGTCTGGAATGACCCTGGTTTTTTGAACCCGTTTCCGACAGCTCTACCTGAGCAGGGAGTGCATAGCAGCTGCAAGGGATCTGGCCACACGGCTGCTGACTGAGATGGAGATCCGTCAGGTACAGCCTCCTGCTGCTGCTTCTCGTGGTGTGGCAGGGGTGCATGTGGGCTGCATGTGGGCTGCTCTCTTTTCACGAAGGGATCTGTCCATGTGACCAG